GGTGGATCACTTGAGGTCAGGAGTTCAAGACCAGCCTGGCCAACATGGTGAAACCCCATCTCTACTAAAAATACAAAAATTAGATGGGCATCATGGTGTGTGCCTGTAATTCCAGCTACTCAGGAGGTTGAGACAGGAGAATTGTTTGAGCCTGGGAGGCGGGATGTTACACTGAACTGAGAATAGGCCATTGCACTCTCCAGCCTGATGAGCAGAGTGAGACTCCATCACAAAAAAATAAAAATAAATTTAAAAAACAGGTGGGTGCACCTGGATCTAACCCTCGTCTCATCCTTCTGCCTTGAAGGCCAAATGCACCCTGATACTTTTCACCGAAGAGTAGAAACACCACCATCCACTTGACCCCAAATGTGACTTTCCACAGGATGCAAGCACAGTGTTGGAATGGCCAATGACAGTAACAATAGAAGTGCAGGGTGAGGGTGATGAACAGGACACACTGGAGAGCCTGACATTGGTCTAGACTATGGGAGTGTCTTGATCTTTCACAAAGAGCCAAGTGGCAACCCAGAGAGACATTGGAGCACAGTCCCAAAGGGTGTTCATATGCCAGGAAGGCCACTAATTTTGGAAGGCAGTGATGTTAGTGCCTGTTGGAGTCCTGATCCTTCATAACATATGCTTTTCTGCATCTGGTTAGACAAGGAAATCTGCAATTTTTGACTTTCAGCATTTAGAAATAAGTTATTTTAGCAGTCCACACACGTAGTTTATTCTGAACTAACTTGAGACACACAGCTACAGATAGGGAATATCATGAGTATTTCCAAGACTAAAACTCTTCGTGAAGTCAGTGGGACCCTCTCATGGGAGGGTTTTAAGACCACAATCAAAAAAGTGGGGAAACATTAGAGTGGAAAGAGGGCAGCAGGTGGTCAGGGGCCTTCCCCAGAGGCCTAACACACCCAACATTACCCTGGATGAGAACAAATACATACCATAACACCACACTCTCTTCAATGTATAACAGAGAAAATGAAACGAATTCAAACTAAGCTTTCAGAATTCCACATTATACAATTAATAAGGTTTTAATATTACTCTGTGTTGATGTTAAGGAATTATTAAATATGAACAACATTTTCTGGTTATGTATGGAAAATACCTTGATTCATGAGATATGAAAATGCTCGTTTTTAGATATGCATGTTTTACTTTTGTGCTTTTTTTAATAAAACAAGGTGGAAAAACAGGAAAAAAATTTCAGATCAAGGAAGTTAAGCAGATTAATAGGAGAAAAGTTATACAAATGTAACATGTATATATGGGAGCCTTCAGAATGAAGACCCACCCATCAATAAGACAAAAACTTGTATACCATTCCAGGATAGGAATGAATGCAGATGTGGCATGGCCAAAAAAATCCCAGGTTTGATGGGTAAGTCAGATTTAATAGCAAGACAGATTCTGCAAGAGGAAAGGAAGAAAGCTTGGCTAGCAAAGCAGACCTTGTTGTGTAGATGAAGGCTCCCTTAGAGAGAATAGGTGGGAAATTCTGCTTTTCAGACTTTCATTTAGAATTTTAAGTAATAGACACAGGATTATGCTATGTTGCCCCAGCTGCTCTCTAATTCTTTGTCTCAAGCAATTCTCCCAAAGTGCTGGGATTCCAGGCGTGAGCCATCATGCTCAGACAGGGTTTGTCCCCTTATAAAGAATTATTCATTGCTGAGCACAGTGGCTCACATCCGTAATCTCAACAATTTGGGAGGCCAAGGCAGGAGGATCACTTGAGCCCAGGAGCTCAAGACCAGCCGTAGCAACATGACGATTCCCTCTCTATACACAAAATACAAAAAATTAGCTGGTTATGGTGGCACGTACCTGTACTCCCAGCTATCCAGGAGGCTGAGGCAGAAGGATAACCGAAGCCTGGGAGGTTGATGCTGCAGTGAGCTGTGATTGCACCACTGTACTCCTGCCTGGACAATTGAGTGAGAGCCTTTGTTAAAAAACAAAAAAAAGTGTTCATCTATTGCAGCTTCAGATTTTTTAAATGAATTGTAAATTGTATTTTCATTACAATTGGAAAGATAAGAAAATTTTGCACAGAAAAGCCCAGATAAAGACAGATTTCAGGAAAAAATCTTTTGTCTTATATAGCGTTAGTTTCAAAATTCTTATTTTTTTCTTTTTTTGAGATAAAGTTTTGCTCTTGTTGCCCAGGCTGGAATGCAGTGGCGCAATCTTTGCTCACTGCAACTTCTGCCTCCCAGGTTCAAGCAATTCTCCTGCCTCAGCCTCCTGAGTAGCTGGGACTACAGGCGCATGCCACCATGCCTGGCTAATTTTTGTACTTTTGGTAGAGATAGGGTTTTGCCATGTTGGCCAGGATGGTCTGGAACTCCTGACCTCAGGTTATCCACCCACCTAGGCCTCCCAGAGTGCTGGGATTACAGACGTGAGCCACCGCGTCTGGCCAAAAACGTGAACTTTCTACTTTGGGTACCACCATTTTGGCGGGCATCAGATCCTTCATGCCCGAGCTCTGTGGGTGCTGCTGCCTCTCTCCACCT